ACAATGACACCGCGGGGGGGAGGGGGGGGCTGCGAGGGGGCACTGGGGGAACTGGGAATGGGGGATGGGAAACTGGGAATGGGGGATGGGAACTGGGAATGGGGGATGGGAACTGGGAATGGGGGATGGGAACTGGGATTGAACTGGGAATGGGGGATGGGAACTGGGAATGAACTGGGAATGGGGGATGGGAAACTGGGATTTGGGTGGGGGGCGTAAAAAAAGGGGCCAAACTCCAAAATAAAGCAACAAAACCGGGGGAGAGCGGAGCGGGGATTTGGGGCATTTTGGGGCATTTTGGGGTTTTTGGGGCTCCGGGAGCCGCTCCTGCCGTCACTGTGTCGGGCTGGCTCTCATTGTCACTGTCGCTGTCGCTGTCGCCGCGGTGGCCCCGCGAGGCAGCTCCGGGCAAGGAATTTTTGGGGGAATTTCAAGGATTTTATGGGATTTTTGGGGGGAATTCTGTGTGATTTTATAGGATTTTGGGCGGTTTTAGGGTTTTTTGAGGAGAGCGAGCCGCTCCTGCCGTCGCTTTGTCGGACCGGCTCTCACTGTCACTGTCGCCCCGCGAGGGAGCTCCAGGAAAGGAAATTTTGGGGAATTTCAAGGATTTTATGGAATTTCGGGGGGAATTCTGTAGGATTTTGAGCGGTTTTAAGGTTTTTTGGGGCTTCTGGAGCCGCTCCTGCCGTCACTTTGTCGGACCGGCACTCACTGTCACTGTCACTGTCGCTGTCCCCGCGGTGGCCCCGCGAGGGAGCTCCAGGAAAGGAAATTTTGGGGAATTTCAAGGATTTTATGGAATTTCGGGGGGAAATCTGTGGGATTTTGAAGCTTTTTTGGCTTTTTTGGGCTTCGGGAGCCGCTCCTGCCGTCACTTTGTCGGACCGGCTCTCGCTGTCCCTGTCACTGTCGCAGTCCCCGCGAGGGAGCTCCAGGAAAGGAAATTTCGGGGAATTTCAAGGATTTTATGGAATTTCGGGGGGAATTCTGTGTGATTTTATAGGATTTTGAACGGTTTTAGGGTTTTTTGAGGAGCGCGAGCCGCTCCTGCCGTCCCTTTGTCGGGCCGGCTCTTGCTGTCACTGTCGCTGTCCCCGCGGTGTCCCCGCGAGGGAGCTCCAGGAAAGGAAATTTCGGGGAATTTCAAGGATTTTATGGAATTTCGGGGGGAATTCTGTGAATTTTGTACGATTTTGAAGCTTTTTTGGCTTTTCTTCCGGGCTTCGGGAGCCGCTCCAGCCGTCCCTTCGCCGGACCGGCTCTCTCCGCCGCCGCCGCCGTCCGTGTCGCTGTCGCCGCGGTGTCGCCGCGGTGTCACAGCGCGGGGCAGGTGACCTGGTGGCGCATGCCGTCGTTGCAGAGCAGCGCGGCCGCGCGCTCGTCGCTGTCGCCGTGCTGGCACTGCATGTAGCTGATGCCGTGCGGCGAGTACGAGTGGTGGGCACAGGCGGCGCAGGGCCGGGGCATGGTGCCACCCGTGCTGCTCCTGCGGGGACAGCGCGGCGACACCGCGTCGGGTGGCACCGCGGGGCGGGGGTTGGCATCGCTCTCGGTGCCACTCTGCGGCTGGTGGCGCTCATTGGCACCTCTTGGGGACCGTCAGTGCCCTGTGCTACCCACCCCTGCTTGGTGGCACCCATTGGTGACCATCAGTGCCCTGTGCCATCCCCCTGTGCCTGGTGGCACCCATTGGTGACCGTCAGTGCCCTGTGCCACCCACCCCTGCTTGGTGGCACCCCTTGGGGACCATCAGTGCCCTGTGCCACCCCCCTGTGCCTGGTGGCACCCATTGGTGACAGTCAGCGCCCTGTGCCATCCCCTGTGCTTGGTGGCACCCATTGGTGACAATCAGCGCCCTGTGCCACCCCCCGTGCTTGGTGGCACCCATTGGTGACAATCAGAGCCCTGTGCCACCCCCTGTGCCTGGTGGCACCCATTGGTGACAATCAGCGCCCTGTGCCACCCCCTGTGCTTGGTGGCACCCATTGGTGACAATCAGCGCCCTGTGCCACCCCCCTGTGCTTGGTGGCACCCATTGGTGACCATCAGTGCCCTGTGCCACCCACCCCTGCTTGGTGACACGCCTGGGTGTCCCTCAGTGCCCTGTGCCATCCCTGTGCCCAGTGGCACCCATTGGCACTCCTGGGTGTCCCCCTGTAGTTGGTGTCACCCACCCAGTGCCACCCAGTGTGTCCCGTTTGTCCCCAGCAATGCCCAGTAGCACCCAGTGGTGCCCATCAGTGCCCAATGTCAGGCACTGGTGCCCAGCACAGCCCAGCACGGCCCAGTGCCAGGCACTGGTGCCCAGTAGAGCCCAGTGCCAGTCTCTGGTGCCCAGCACAGCCCAGTGCCACCCCGTGCCACCCCGTGCCACCCACCTGCAGTCACTGCAGCCCCTCTGGCACTCCTGGCACTGGTAGGGGGCAATCAGTGCCCAGTGCCAGTCACCAGTGCCCAGTAGAGCCCAGTGCCAGTCTCTGGTGCCCAGCACAGCCCAGCAGAGCCCAGTGCCAGTCTCTGGTGCCCAGCACAGCCCAGTGCCAGTCTCTGGTGCCCAGCACAGCCCAGCAGAGCCCAGTAGAGCCCAGTGCCCCCCGTGCCCCCCGGCACCCACCGGCAGTCGCTGCAGGCACGCTGGCACTCCTTGCGCTGGTAGCGGGCGATCAGTGCCCAGATGAGCAGCCCCAGCAGGCTGAGGAGGAGGAGGGAGCCCAGGATGGAGCCCACGATGATGCCAGCCTGGCGCCCGCCTGCCCCGGGGACAAGACCTGTCACCGCCGGCCTCCGCCGGCTGCCCGGGGACACAGTGGCACCCAGGGACACCGGGTGGCACCCCAGAGCCACCACAGTGCCACCCAGAGCCATCCAGGGCCACCCCAGTGACACCCAGTGCCACCCCGGTGCCACCCAGGGCCACAGAGTGGCACCCAGGGCCACCGGGTGGCACCCCAGAGCAACCACAGTGCCACCCAGAGCCATCCAGGGCCACCGCAGTGCCACCCAATGCCACCCCAGTGACACCCAGTGCCACCACGGTGCCAGTCTGGAGTCACCACGGTGCCACCCAGAGCCATCCCTGGTGCCACCCAGGGCCACCCCAGAGCCACCCTGGGGAGCTGAGACATCCTGGTGCCACCCTGTGTCACTCCCAGTGTCACTTACGGGGCCCGGGGCTCAGGTTGAGCTGGCACACCCCAATGTCTCCAGTGTCCCCAATGTCCCCAGTGTGTCCCCAGTGTCCCCAGTGTCCCCAGTGTCCCCAGTGTCACTCACGGGGCCCGGGGCTCAGGTTCAGCTGGCACACGGAGTAGCCCACGCGGTTGGTGACACGGCACTGGTAGGTGCCAGCGTGGGCACCCGTCAGGCTGCGGATCAGGAGGTCACCGGGGGCACGGCCTGGCACAGCACAGGTGGCACTGTCACCTCGGTGCCACCTGCGCCCCCTGGAGAGGGACGGTGGGGACACACAGGGACACAGGGACACGGGGACACGGGGACACGGGGACATGGGGACATGGGGACACAGGGACACGGGGACACAGGGACACGGGGACACGGGGACATGGGGACACAGGGACACACAGGGACACAGGGACACGGGGACACGGGGACATGGGGACACGGGGACACACGGACATGGGGAGGGGACATGGACAGACACATGGACATGGACACAGGGACACAGAGGGACACAGGGACATCGGGACACAGAGGGACACAGGGACAGGGACACAGGGACACGGGGACACACAGACAGGGACACACGGACATGGGGACTGGAAGGGACACGGGGACATGGGGGCACACGGACATGGGGACACACAGGGACAAGGACACACAGGGACATGGGGACATGGACATAGGCACAGGGACAGGGACACACGGACATGGGGACACAGAGGGACACGGGGACATGGGGGCACACGGACATGGGGACACACAGGCACACAGAGACACACAGACACACAGGGACATGGACAGACACATGGACATGACACAAGGACATGGGGACACATAGGAACACATAGACACACAGACATAGACACACAGGGACATGGACAGACACATGGACATGACACAAGGACATGGGGACACACAGACATGGGGACACAGGGACACGGGGACATGGACATGGACACAGGGACAGGGACACACAGATATGGGGACACACAGACACGGACACACCGACCCCCGAGCCCCCCATGGCCACACCCCCTTGGCCGATGTTCCCAAATCCCCCCCGAGCCCCCGGGGGGGTCCCTGACCCACCTTGGGGGGTCCTTAAACTCCCCCTGAGCCCCCAAATCCCCTCTGTGCCCCCAGACCCACCTTAGGGGGATCCCTGAGTGCAGAGACCCCCTAAACCCCCCCTAAACTGAACCCCCCAAATGCCCCTTTGTGCCCCCGACTCACCTGGCAGGGTGCCCGAGGGCAGGGACCCTCTAAACTCCCCCTGAGCCCCCCAAATGCCCTTTGTGCCCCACCCGGGGGTCCCTGACCCACCTTGCAGGGTGCCCGAGGGCAGGCGCCCCCCCCCGTAGCCCTCGGCCAGCTTTGCCCACTGGTAGCTGAGGGGGGCCGTGCCCCCCCGGCTGAAGCAGCGCAGCAGCACCGACCCCCCCTCGGTCACATCCCCCTCGCTCCAGCACTGCGGGGCCGCCGGCTTCTCTGCTGGGAGGGGACAGCGTCAGGGACAGCGACAGCGACAGGGACAGGGACAGCGACGGGGACAGGGACAGCGACAGGGACGGGGATAGCGCGACAGTTAGGGACAGCGACGGGGACAGGGACGGGGCAGGGGACATCGTGACAGGGGCAGGGACAGCGACAGGAACAGGAACAGCGACAGAGGAAGGAGACAGCGACAGGGGCAGGGACAGGGACAGGGACAGCGCAACAGGGACAGCGACAGGAACAGGGACAGCGGCAGGGACATCGCGACAAGGGGCAGGGACAGGAACAGGGACAGGGACAGCGACAGGGGCATCGCGACAGAGGCAGGGACAGCGACAGCGGCAGGGACATCGCGACAGAGGCAGGGACAGCCCCGGGGACAGCGACACGCGGGAGGGGGATGGTGACACCGGCAGGGACAGGAGACAAGGGACAGGGACACCGGGGAGGGGACAGAGGATAGGGGACAGGGAGGGACAGGGACACCATCAGGGACAGCCAGGAGAGGAGAAGAGGGACAGGGACAGTGTCAGAGCCACCGGGGGGGGGACAGGGACCGAGGACAGCCAGGAAGGGGACATTGTCAGGGCCACTCAGGGGGACACCATCAGAGTCACCAGGGGCCACCCAGGAGAGGGGACACCTGGGAGTGTGGGGGGACAGGAGTCACCTGGGTTGGGGGGACACGGGACACTGTCAGGGCCACCTGGATGGGGGACAGGGGACATTGTCAGGGCCACCAAGGGCCACATGAGAGGGGGAGAGGTGACACTGTCAGAGCCATGAGGGGCCACCCAGCAAGGGGGCCTGGGGGTGGGACAGGGGACACTGGGGGCCACATGAGAGGGACACAGGGGACATCATCAGTGCCACCAGGGGCCACCCAGGAAGGGGACTTGGGAGTGGGACAGGGGACACTGTCAGTGCCACCAGTGCCACACGAGAGGGGCACAGGTGACACCACCAGTGCAGTGTCACCACAAGTAACCAAGGCCACCTCGGCGCGGGGCTGGGAGGGGACAGGTGACACGGGGGGCACAGCGGTGGCACAGGGGGCGCGCTCTCACCTTGCACGGTGACAATGACCTCGTGCACGGCCACCGTGTTCTTCTTGACGCGGCACTGGTAGGTGCCGGTGTCGCTCTCCTGCAGGTCGGCCACGCGGATGGAGGCGTCGCGCTGGCTCGGGTCCGTTTGGGTTAGGGTTAGGCTCAGCTCTGGGCCTGCCTGTTCCTGCCTGGCCCTGCTCGTCCTTCCCTGTCCTGTCTGTCCTGGGGCTTCCTGGCCCTGCTCGGACCTCTGTGTCCCTTCCTGTCCCTGCCTGGTCCTTTCTGGTCCCCCGTGTCCCTCCCTGTCCCTGCCTGTCCCTGCCTGTCCTGTTTTTCCCTGCCTGTCCCTGTCCCTGCATCCCTGGCTGACCTCCAGCCCAGCCCAGCCCAGCCCAGTCTGGTCCAGACTGGCACGCCCAGACGCTGCCAGACCTTCCCTGCCCTGCCTGTCCCTCTGGCCTGTCCCTGCCTGTCCCTGCCCTGCCTGTCCCTGCCTGTCCCTGCCTGTCCCTCTGGCCTGTCCCAGTCCAGCCTGTCCATCCTGCTCAGCTGGGCTCCATCCCACTGATCCCATCCCAGCCTGTCCTGCTTCATCCTTCCAGACCCTGCCTGGTCCTTCCCTGCCCTGCCCAATCCTGCCTGTCCCTGCCTGTCCCTGCCTGATCCCTGCCCATCCTCCCATCCCAGCACTTCCAGCTCTGTCTGGTCCTTCCCTGTCCTTCCTGACCTTCCCTGCCCTGCCCAGTCCTGCCTGTCCCTGCCTGTGCCACTTCACCCTTCCCATCCCAGCACTTCCAGACCCTGCCTGGTCCTTCCGTGCCTTTCCTGACCTTCCCTGTCCCTGCCTGTCCCTGCCTGTCCCTGCCTGTCCCTGCCTGTAATGATGGGTTCCAAACCCTGCGTGTCCTACCAGGTCTTTCTCTGTCCTTCCAGACCTTCCTTATCCCTGCCTGTCCCTCCCTGTCCCCTCTGTCCCTTCCTGTCCCCTCTGTCCCCCGCGCCCCCCGGCCCCTCACCACGTTCTCGGGGCTGGGTCTCTCGGGGCTGATCTGGATCCACTCGATCCCCACGCCCTGGGGACCGTTGTCCTCGGGCTCCAGGACGTAGGGACAGCCCAGCTTGACCGAGTCGCCCTTGGCCAGGTACAGAACCTCCCGGCCCTTGCCGTTGATCCTGACGGCCACCAGGAGAGCTGGGGACAGGACGGCACCGTCACCCCCCGAAATGGCAGTGACACCCCCGAAACGGCAGTGACACCCCCAGAAATGGCACCGTCACCCCTGAAATGGCAGTGGCACCCCCGAAACGGCAGTGACACCCCCAGAAATGGCACTGTCACCCCTAGAAATGGCAGTGACAGCCCTGAAACGGCACTGTCACCCCCGAAACGGCAGTGACACCCCCAAAAAGGCAGTGACACCCCCGAAACTGCAGTGACACATTCAGAAACGGCAGTGTCACCCCCGAAAATGGCAGTGACACACCCAGAAATGGCAGTGTCACCCCCAGAAATGGCAGTGACACCCCTAGAAATGGCAGTGACACCCCTAGAAATGGCAGTGACACCCCCGAAACGGCACTGTCACACCAGAAATCGCACTGTCACACTTCAAAATGGCACTGTCACCCCCAAAAAGGCAGTGACACCCCCAAAAAGGCAGTGACAGCCCCGAAAATGGCACTGTCGCCCCCAGAAATGGCATTGTCACTCCTCAAAATGGCACTGTCGTCCCCAAAATGGCACTGTCACACCAGAAATGGCAGTGACACCGCCAAAAATGGCACTGTCACCCCGAAACGGCAGTGGCATATCCAGAAATGGCAGTGACACCGCCAAAATGGCAGTGACACATTCAGAAACGGCAGTGTCACCCCCGAAAATGGCAGTGACACCCCCGAAATGGCAGTGACACCCCCAAAATGACACCGTCACCCCCCGAAATGGCACTGTCACACCGAAAATGACACCGTCACCCCTGAAAATGGCAGTGACACCCCCTGAAATGACACTGTCACCCCCGAAACAGCACCCAGAACACCCCACAGCCCCACAGCTGCAGCTCCTGACCCGCGCGGAGCAGGGATGGGGCACAGGGACCCCAAACCTGTGCCCTGAGACCCCCGACCCCAAACGCACTGTCACCCCTAGAAATGGCAGTGACACCCCCAGAAATGGCAGTGTCACCCCAGAAATGGCAGTGTCACCCCCAGAAATGGCAGTGACACCCCCAGAAATGGCACTGTCACACCAGAAATCGCACTGTCACACTTCAAAATGGCACTGTCACCCCCAAAAAGGCAGTGACACCCCCAAAAAGGCAGTGACAGCCCCGAAAATGGCACTGTCGCCCCCAGAAATGGCATTGTCACTCCTCAAAATGGCACTGTCGTCCCCAAAATGGCACTGTCACACCAGAAATGGCAGTGACACCGCCAAAAATGGCACTGTCACCCCGAAACGGCAGTGGCATATCCAGAAATGGCAGTGACACCGCCAAAATGGCAGTGACACATTCAGAAACGGCAGTGTCACCCCCGAAAATGGCAGTGACACCCCCGAAGTGACAGTGACACATTCAGAAACGGCAGTGTCACCCCCGAAAATGGCAGTGACATCCCCGAAATGGCAGTGACACCCCCAAAATGACACCGTCACCCCCCGAAATGGCACTGTCACACCGAAAATGACACCGTCACCCCTGAAAATGGCAGTGACACCCCCTGAAATGACACTGTCACCCCCGAAACAGCACCCAGAACACCCCACAGCCCCACAGCTGCAGCTCCTGACCCGCGCGGAGCAGGGATGGGGCACAGGGACCCCAAAGCTGTGCCCTGAGACCCCCGACCCCAAACCCTGAAACCCCCAAAGCGTCAGGAGCAGGGACCCAGCGCACCCCAAAACTGTGCCCCGACACACCTGGAACCCCACAGCTGGCAGAACCCAAACTCGGGGGTGCAGGGACAGGGTAGGGATCCAGCGCACCCCAAAGCTGTGCCCTGAGACCCCTGACCCCAAACCCTGAAACCCCCAAAGCGTCAGGAGCAGGGACCCAGCGCACCCCAAAACTGTGCCCCGACACACCTGGAACCCCACAGCTGGCAGAACCCAAACTCGGGGGTGCAGGGACAGGGTAGGGACCCACGGCACCCCAAACCTGTGCCCTGAGACCCCTGACCCCAAACCCTGAAACCCCCAAAGCGTCAGGAGCAGGGACCCACGGCACCCCAAAGCTGTGCCCTGAGACCCCTGGAAGCCCCCAAACCCCCCCTGCAACCCCAAA